AAATATTAATAGCTGGATCTCTTGAAATATCTGTCAAGCGGTTCTTATGACGTCTGTGCTAATGGATTTTAAAAGTCTTGTGGACATAAACCACACAGTTAAAATTGTTTTGGGATCTCACAGAACTTGAATTTATAAGTGACTTCTGCTGTTTTTCCAAGATTTTTCCTTTAAACTCAAGGCAATTCTGTGAGCCAAAACATTAGGCAGCTTTATGACTTTTCAGCTCGGTTACACGCTTCGTTGCATGCTTTGCCTTTTCTTTTGCGAGTTAAATGTTTTAATTGCTTTGGCTTTGTGTTTTGCCTGTACAGAGTCGATAAGAAAAGAGACAAAATTGAGAGGAAAATACTGGACAGTCAGGAAAGAGCCTTCTGGGATGTGCACAGACCAGTGGTGAGTATGTGTGTTTGTGTGTGTGTGTGAGAGAGAACAATGGAGCTATTCTCTTTTCTTCTTCTGAATTATTCTTTGTTGTTGTGTGGTGTTTGAAGTTGTTACCTCACAGAGGAATGACACAATACTGTTGAAGGCCCACTTGAGCTGATGGAATCACCTCTGGGCTTACAGAAGCCCTGCTTAGCCATATTCCAAAAATCCTACATCATTAATTTCCCTAGCCGATATTCTACAAAGTAAAAGTGAAAACGTGCAGATGTCCCCTAAGGAGCTCATCCTACCTTTGAAACTAGTCCTTTTAAACTTTTGTTTGATGTACCTTAATGTAGTCAGGTTATTACAAAATACAAATTTGGGATCTTTTGGTATTTTATTAAAACTAGAATTATGTTGAATTGATTATCTACCATATTTTCTGTGTTACCTGACAGCGTTTTGTAGCATTGGTTTATGAAACAACTTATAGAAGACCCCTGGGGAGATTGGGTAATCAAATAGTCCCACATAGTTTGTGCATAATTGGATTGACATTAAATCGGATTCAATTAAAGATGCTTTATGTACGTTTTTGACTCTTCTAAAACATAAAATACCATAATATGTTTGCAGATATTTAAGAAACATGCTAAGTGAACTATTGTTTATCTGAAAAACAATACTGAAGTCAGATGTTCTGCTTTGAAAATGTCCTTTATGTGCCGGAACATCTGTCTTTGTTTTGGTTATTTAAAGCGGCCAATGCTAGTTTAGCATAATTATATTTTAGCAGCACGGGTTACCCGGGTTACAGCATTTTTGATTAATTCAGTTAGGAAGGCTCTCAAAGTGTGCAAAATACGACCTCCGGTGGACAATAGCAGACGAAATGAGAGTCAGATTCAGAGTTCCACATATAGATATTAAGCTTTTTTCCCTAAATACTAGTTTGAATTATCCCTATAAGTAATAAAATTACAATAAATACAGTAGAAGTTAAATGTTAGAAATTAGAATTAACAATAGAATTAACCAAACAGGTGATTCACGCTTTATGTCATGGCACAATATCCTGCTAGAAGTAGCCATCAGAAAACGGGTACACTGGGGTCATTAAGGGATGGACATGGTCAGCAACAATACTTAGTTAGGCTGTGGCATTGACATGATGCTCAATTGGTATTAATGGACCCAAAATGTGCCAAGAAAATACCCCCACACCATTACACCACCACCACCAGCCTAAACTGTTGATACAAGGCAGGATAGATGCATGCTTTCATGTTGTTAACGCCAGATTCTGACCCTACCATCTGAATGTCGCAGCAGAAATCGAGACTCATCAGACCAGCCAACCTTTTTCCAATCTTCCATTGTCCAACTTTGGTGAGCCTGTGCGAATTGGAGCCTCAGTTTCCTGTTCTTAGCTGACAGGAGTGGCACCCTGTGTGGTCTTCTGCTGCTGTAGCCCATCTGGTTATTTGAGTTACTGTTGCCTTTTTATCAGCTCTAACCAGTCTGGCCATTGTCCTCTGACCTCTGGCATCAAAAAAGCATTTTTGCCCACAGAACTGCCGCTCACTAGAGATTTTCTCTTTTTGGTACTATTCTCTGTAAACACTAGAGATGGTTGCGCGTGAAAATCCCAGTAGATCAGCAGTTTCTAAAATACTCAGACTAGCTTGTCTGACCCCAACAAACATGCCACGTTCAAAGTCACTTAAATCACCTTTCTTTCCCATTCTGATGCTCGGTTTATACCGCAGCAGATCGTCTTGACCATGTCTACATGCCTAAATGCATTGAGTGGCTGCCATGTGATTGGCTGATTAGAAATTTGCATTAACAAAAAGTTGGACAGGTGTTCCTAATAAAGTGGCCGATGAGTGTATAAGGAAATCAACATTTGTTTCACATTGCAATTTCACACATGACAACTGAAACTCATTGTCATCAGAACTAAATGCAAGCATATACACTTGCATGCTTGTTGATTACAGAGGCTACTTAATTAGTATTTAAAATGTATATAAACATTACAATTATTATTGTAGCAGTCCATGTGTGTATAAATCACCTGATGTGTACTGCTTCATGTTTTGCATGTACGTGAGCTGTTTGTTTTGAAGGAAGCCGCAATTTCTCCCTCAATTACACTGAGCTGATCCTCCTCATTAGCAATTTCATGCTAACTTGCCTTGATCTTTCGAGCTGATGTGCAGTAGTGAGATGCTGCAGCTCTTGTCCATATTTAGCTAGTGTGGGTTCAGATGGGGATTATTATAGAACTCAAAGTGTCTGGAGGCTGTTTTCTCCCCCTCGCGAATATACATTGGAGGCTGCAAACTAAAGTTCATTCTATACAGGAGTGTAGAAACAGTCCTGTGTGAGATAAAACAGAGTCCAACCAGCAGGAAACCATGTGATTGACAGCTCAGTGCCTTTTAAAATATCAGCTCAGTTTCCCAAAACAGGGGGGAGTATGTCGGTGAGCTGCACCGCGTCATGTGGTTTACAGTCGATGAAACATGGTTGCTTACCAATCCATAAACTATAGGTCATCTTGAAAACTAACATTTATTTTGACAGCGTGTGCTATGTGTGTGTTTTTCAGCCAGGTTGTGTGAACACAACAGAAGTGGACATAAAAAAGTCATCCAGAATGAAGAATCCTCACAAGACGAGAAAGGTGATGAAAATTAATTCAGAAATCAAATAAACAACTTCACTTTTTAATGTCCTGAATCATGTGACTAATCACTAAAAGAGATTTTCCACTTATTACATCATTGAACCTTCGTGTTGGATGAATCAATCAACCATCAGAATAATAGCCAATCAGTCCTGAATAAATCCACCAATCAGGGAGCCTCATAAAATCATGCACCTCACTGGTCAAGAACTGCTCACCGCAACAATCAAACGACTGTCCATGTGAAATCCTTCATCACAGATGCAATCACTCAGAAATCTACTGTATGTAAATTTATGTAAATGTGTTTGTAATTTATTTAAATTTTCACAGTCTGTGTACGGCCTTCAGAATGACATTCGCAGCCATAGCCCCACCCACACACCAGCCCCTGAGGCCAAGCAGCCAACCGAGGAAGAGCTTCAGGAACAGGTAACGTCTGATTGGTTTTGTGTGTTTTTAGGCATAAAAAAGCCAAAAGGGGATTTACAGCTTAGAATAATAAATAACCTGTTAAAGATTTTGAGCTGAACAATAGAAGACACATTCTGAGGATATCTGTATATTACATTTTGTAAAAATGAAGCCCTTTTTTGTAATTGGTTTCGGCAGACTACCTATCTGCTGCAGAGCAAATACAGACTTCCTACTGTCGATATGTAGGCAGACACTGCATTAATAGGGATTGAGAAATCTCCTTACAGGGGAAGGGTTACAGAGGAACTGTGATAATGGACTGGCCTACAGTGAAACTGAATCAAACAAAATGTTGAGCAAGCAATCTCACTGGCTGCAGAAGTAGCAGCAGCCAATAAACATGCCATATAATGATGTGGTTTCTTTCAGACTACATATATAAAATAAGTCCATGTCATCTAGAATTCCCTGACTGAACTTGATGTGATTCTATTTTGCTAAAAATAATTAAGTGTTCATGATGTCGTGCTTATGGTACTATGACAATGATTTCTTTGTAATACTTGAAACTACTATATGGGTAATTCTTTAACTACTGGCTCTTTTATGTCTTTTGATTATATATCCAAAAATATATATATAATTTTATTCAAATTCCTCTTTCTTTGTCAAACTAACAAAAAAAAACACTACTTTTAAAAAGTTTACTAGCTTTCTATTATATATTTTTTTAATTATTCAACCCTCTTTTATGTGTCAAAATCACTGTTTTTACCTTGTCGCACACCCAGAGTTTTAAACTTCAACAATGAAAATAACATTTAAAATTTTTTTTTTATCTGGTATCTAATAATGTATCTTAATTTAGCACTAGTGAAATAATTTAAATATTTTATAGTTATTAATGTGAGACTATTATCAATGTTTTTTTTATAACTGTCACACAGTATCAGTGTCATTTCCACCACAACACTGTAATGTCGCTTTCAAAAGTTTGTGTGAAAGATTATTTTGGTGGTTTCTATGAAAATGAATAGTGCCATAGAAGCAAGGTTTATTTGCACTCTTCACCCTTCCCCTTGACCTCACTTTCAATCATGGTCATGGCATTAACGTAAATCATACCAAGTCTGGTATGGTTCCACCTATGTAACTATACAGAGTTTGAGCAGGATTCAAACCAGCACTCAAACCAGCATTTTTATTTATTAGTTAGTTGACTCTTGCAATAGTTACTAGTGCACTTCAATAGGCCAGGTGACTGAGGTTTACTCAATTTCATCCAAGCCCAATGAACTATATGAATTAGTTCTCCATTCATTGCCACAATATCTGTTTTCTATCCACAAAGTTCCCAAAACTGTTTAAAATCTTCATAAATAACTAAGCTCAAATATCTTAGCCAAACTGGGAGACCAACTGACCACCTTTTGACTGTTTTAAGCTGTTTTTATTCTTCTTTCTCAGCAGCTGCATGAAAAATAGTGGCTGTATTTAGCATGAGTTTTCACACACACACACCTACATAAACTCACTCTGACTATTAGCATTATTGTCTTTCCAGATCAAGTTTTGGCAAGCACAGTTAGACCGCCATCGATTGAAAATGTCCAAAGTTGCAGAGAGGTAAGTCAGAGAGAGAGAGAGAGAGAGAGAGAGAGCCTGTGCTGTTATCGATCCACAGGTCTTCATTATTCTACAGTGCTTAAACATTTTCTTATCGATCTCTTTAATGGTCTGTGTAGATATTGTTCATGCTGACAAACATGTTTCTGTTTCTCGTCCTCAAATTTACTTCGTCTGTGAGATCAATGACTCACTTAGGATGCCACAACATCTCGAAACAAAGTTTTTTTAATGCCACATGAAAAGAAACCCACTTGTAGCAATCAATTATAGATCAAAATAAAAAATGTCCATCAGTGTTGGAAGTAACAACTTGGAAGTAACATGCATTATGTATACATAATCAGATTACTTAAAGTGCCCCTAAATGATGTTCATAATGTTCGGATATTACCTTTCTCACATTGTGTAATGTAGCTGTTTGTCAATATAAAGAGTCTGCAAAGTTTTAAAGATTATCAAAGTGCAGGATTTCAGGTTGTTGATACTGTATGTCAAAAATATATTTTCTTTGCAGTAAAAACAAATTCACTTTTCATACACAAAAAACTGAGTTTGAACTAGGGATCAAATTGATACTGTAAAAGTGATGCCATAATAACTGTCTATATTACTGTGTACAAGCTACTGGAACTAAAATATTCAGATATAGTAATGCCCATTTCAATTACAAAAAGCCCAGCAGACACACAACATGTTTGGTTAGATTCAGATCGCCGCATTTAATGACTGTGCTATTTTGACGTCCATTAATGACATAAAATTGCATTGATATTTGGTTAATTTTAGGTTGTGTTGGTAAGTGACCAAAATATTTTAAACCAACATCATATTGACGTCAAATACTGAGATTTGTTCATCAAGTATGGCAACCAAAATCCAATGTTTGATAGACGTCATAGTGGTGACTGCCAGACAACATCAAGCTGTAACATCATTAGATGTTACAACAAATATACATTGAAGGTAACTTACTAATAATTTCATTTATTCATTTTCTTTTTGTTTTAGTTGCTTTATTAATCTGGGCCCGCCACAGCAGAATGAACCGCACTAATAATTCTAGTTACAACAAAGTTATTTATGTTCATTACTAACCTGGGGTAAGGGTTATAAATATGGTGCAAAATTATTATAGTATTGTACATCGTGTACAGTCATATGATCAGCATAACTCATTGATATTAATATGAGCAAAAATTATTGATGAGCATAAAACATTCAGAGGGGATGAACACTAATGCAAATCAAAAGTAACAAATCAACACAAAAAGTGCAAATCAACATAAAAGTACAGTAGCTTGCTTTTAGTATTGCATTATTTTAAATAAATAATACCTAATAATAATTAAAAAAATAATAATAGTAGGGCATCACGGTGTCGCAGTGGGTAGAACAATTGCCGTACAGCAAGAAGGTCACTGGCTACAGGCCCAGTGGGGTCATTGGCATTTCTGTGTGGAGTTTGCATGTTCTCCCCGTGTTAGCATGGGTTTATTCCAGGTGCTCTGGTTTCCCCCCAGTCAAAAGACATGTGGTATAGGTGAATTGGATAGGCTAAGTTGGCCGTAGTGTGTGTGAATGCAAGAATGTGTGGGTCTTTCTTAGTGTTGTGTTGCGGATGGAGGGGCACCTGCTGCGTAAAACATTTGCTGGATAGGTTGGCGGTTCATTCCGCTATGGCGACCCCTGATTAATAAAGGGACTAAGCCGAAAAAGAAAATGAATAAATGAATAATATAATAATAATTATAATAATAATAATAATAATAATTATTATTATTATTATTATAAAAATAATTATAAAAACTTAAACATTTTATTGACACAATAAACGTTAAACAACAGTACTCAACACCAGCGCTTATGCTATCTTATTTTTTGTATAAGGCAAGGAAAGACAAGTTTATTTATTCATACACAATGGTAATGCAAAGTGCTTTACATAAACAAGAATAATAGAAACAAGAAAATTAAAATGATGACAAGAATTAAAAATAATTAAAAACGAATTAAAATGTGTTAAAACAGGTTTTAAAGAAAGTCATAATCGTGCGATCTGTCGGATGAAAAAATGTAAACCCTGAAATTAAATTAATTAGCAGGAACATGAACATTTTTATATGTTTTAGTACACTATGTTCCCTTACAGAAAAGCTATGCGAGTGCTTCGCGTCATGTGCAGTTGTGGTAAAATCATTTGTGAAACACACATGGAACAAATGTAGCACACATGAAATTTGTGGTTTTGCTAACTTTTTATGTGGGGAAACTTTATAAGTGGTTTCTTTCTACATGTATTTGATGTGATTTTAGCATTAAGTTCATGTAACCCTTGTGTGTTATTTCTGAGACGTTAATAAGAGATACAATTTTTTCTTCTCTCTCTCTTTAATCCGTTTGTTTTTATGATTGTGTTGTAGTTTGCTGAGCTATGCAGAGCAGTATTCAGACTATGACCCTTTCTTGTCCACTCCTGATCCCTCCAACCCCTGGATGTCAGATGATACAACACTTTGGGAAATGGAGGCCAGGTTTGTTTCAAACACACACAGACAAACATGTATATGGTGGTTTATGAGGACTCTTCTTATGTATTTTATACTGTAAACTACTTGTTACATTGCCTTACCCTACCCCTATAAGAAACCTCTTTATTTATTCCCTTTTCGGCTTAGTCCCTTTATTAACCTGGGGTCGCCACAGTGAAATGAACCCCCAACTTATACAGCATATTTTTTATGCCATGGATGCCCTTCCAGCTGCAACCCATCACTGGGAAACATTTATACACACTCATTCACACACATACACTATGGACAATTTAGCTTACCCAGTTCACCTATAGCACATGTCTTTGCACCTGTAGTGGAAACTGGAGCACCCGGAAGAAAACCTTTACACACAAATGCACACACATACTCTTATTGTCTTAATTATTGTTGTATAATTTATTTTGTGTGTGTGTGTGTTTGTGGGTGTAGTAAGGAGCCTGGTCAGACTCGAGTTAGACGCTGGGGTTTTGGGATTGATGAGGTGTTGAAAGATCCGGTCGGGAGGGAGCAGTTTCTCAAGTTCCTAGAGTCTGAATTCAGCTCAGAAAACCTCAGGTAATCCTCCAGCACACTTCCCCTTCATGCCCCCTGCTGGCAGGTGTGGAGAAATACTGCGCAACCGCTTCTGCTCTGTGTAATGGTTTTGTGTTCTGCAAATGAATTCTCTTTTACTGTTCAGATTCTGGTTGGCAGTGCAAGAGTTAAAGAGAAGGCCGATCCGTGAGGTGCCAACGCGGGTGCAGGAGATCTGGGAAGAGTTTTTGGCTGCTGGAGCCCCCAGTGCCATTAATGTGGACTCCAAGAGCTATGACAAAACCACACAGAATGTCAAAGACCCTGGGAGATATGCTTTTGAGGATGCACAGGTGAGGAATGTGTGTTATTGAGTAGCTACATAATTCATATAATATTTGACTGTTTGTAATTGTGTGTCTTTCAGGAACACATCTATAAGCTGATGAAGAGTGACTCTTACAGCCGGTTTATTCGATCCTGTGCCTATCAGGAGCTTTTGCAGGCCAAGAAAAAGGTATTTGACTAACAGTCATAAAATCAAACAAATTCTGACTAGTTAATTTACACTACTATTCAAAGCTTTGGGGTATGTGATTTTTTTTTTTTTTAAGTAAGTCTTATATGTTGAACTAAGCTTAATTATTTGATCACGAAAACAAATATAGTAATAGTGTCAAACATAATCAAACATTGCTTTCTGTTTAAATACATTTAATTTATTATTTTCTTGACTTTTGTCTTATAAACGTTGAAAATCAAAGCTTATTATTACGTTTACCAACCTTTTGTTTTACTGTCACTTTCGATGCATTTAATGAACACTTGCTTGTTTAAAGGTTTATTTATATTTTAAACAATTCTACCCAAACCCAAATGTTTGAGCAGTATTGCATGTGAAGTTATCTCTCAAATATAGACAATCTGTAAACTGTGATGCTGGCAGCTCATTGTTTTGGGTTTTATACCACAATTTACAGCACCAAATAAAAAAGTCACTTTTTACAAGTGCAGAGTAACATTTTCAAAAGGACAAGAGCAAAGATCAAGGTTCCATAATGCAATTCAAAAGCATAACTAGATGGAAACATCCATGAGCTATAGATAAGTTCTGTTTCAGAAATATTTAACAGTGTACTTTAAATGAGTTCATTTTGATAAATATTATTTTATGAATTTTACAGCAGCTACTAACGAGATGGTATAGGAAAATACCTAATAGTTAAGCCTATAGTTTAACAAAATATGAAAATTTGCTCAGTCCATCCAGTATCCAACTGGTGACTTTTTCTACACTGATGCATTAAAAAAGATATTAGCTAAAACTGTGGTTCTTGGTGATTTCAGTAAATGACACACTTACATAAAAAAAATAAAAATAAAAAAAATAAAATTATATATATATATATATATATATATATATATATATATATATATATATATATATATATATATATATATATATATATTATAATGCACACACACACAAACACAGAGGCAACACTAAATGAACAGCAGAGGTTATTATTTCTAATGAATGTTCAGACACAGCATGCTGCAGTTTTTCACTCTTTATCTTGTTGAATGGAGTCGGGAAGCATACAGGATCGCAGAACCTCTTTTGAAAAGTTCACTCGTAATGTGGTAAGTGGTAGTGGCCCCGCCCTCTCAGTGACATGACCAATCAGACAGCAGCTCTGATCAGATGACTCTTGTCTGGTGATTTATCCTGCCCCCAAACCTTGTGATGTCACCTTAAATCGTGTTGTCTAACAGGTTTAAGCAAAGCTCTTCTCTTGTCATTATCTGTGTCATCTACAGATGAGCTGTTTGTCATTGCATGACTTTGCATTTTGGTCTCCTGTTGCAACAGCTGCCAAAATGTGTACCTGTTCACTCTTCTCTATCTTGTCCACAGAAAAGTAAGAACTTGTTTTGAAAGAAGGCATTGCTTCCAGGTAACCCTGCTCCTCCTCAGCCTGTATGTGATGCTCCTGGGGCCTCATGTATCAACGCTGCGTACACACAAAAACTTTGCGTACGCCAGGTTTTAAGCTCACCTTTGGATTTACTAACAATGAAATGAACATAGGAATGTGCGTTGGTCCACGCCAACTTCATGTCTGGTGTACGTGCATTTCCTGTGTGTGTTTGTTTTACTACCATTGGCGACTCCTAGAGGCAATTGTGTTAAATTGCACACTTCAAAGTATCTTGGAGCCGTGCAATCGCAGCTGTATGAGACGGGATAATCCGCATGTCTAGCAGGTATATAAGGTTTCCATACCATGCAGTTGACCAGACATTAAAGCGCAACTTGCAGCAATCGCCGGTTTTCCCAATGTGATCGGAGCGATCGACTGCACGCACATTGCTATAAAGGCGCCATCTGAAGATGAATTTGCATACGTGAATTTGAAACATTTATATTCAATAAATGTGCAAATAATATGTGATGCTACACACACTTTTTAATGATTCCTACTTGTCTTCCTCGTGATGAAGAGTAGGCAAAATCTGATATGTAATGGGGGAAAAAGAAAAATAAGTTGATCAGATGCTGGATTCGAACTGGGTTTAGGAATGATAGTCCAAACATGTTGCCATGCGCTTTAAGAGCTACGCCACTCACACTGCTGATAGTTGCTCAACTATCACTTAAATCGCTCATTTAAACAAGGTGTCCAACGAGACCCCACTGCGTTAACAGCATCAGCTAAACTCTAACACTCTATTTTTTTTTTGTTATTAATACCGGAGGACAAACTTTTAAATAACACAGTTTTCTGCAGTCTATCTCCAATAGGAGCACCTCCAATTCACATTCTGTTCAAAGTTTCTCTTGTTGCTTGCTTCTGTCATTGCTTCTTCTTTTGGTTTTGCCAAAGTAAAGTCATTAGCATATTCATACGGGGGAGGAGGCAGGGAGGCATTTACAGCTTTGTGCGTACGCAATGTTTTAGTATTGATTCAACGCAAGTCTTTTGTACATGAGGCCCCTGTTCTTTTGTGTTTGTCTGGTTTACGTCTGATTTTTCTGTTGGAGTAATGGATTACCCAGAAATTAAAATATATATTTTTTTCAGGCAAGACAAATGAAGATGTTTGGCAGAATGCCAAAGCTACTGTTTTGAGTCATATGAGTCAGAAAAGTGATTCATATGACTGTTGAAAAAATGAAGTTGTTGCTGGAAAAAAAAATCAGTTTTCATTAAAGATATTAAGCAGCAAAATTGTTTTAAACATCGATAGTACGAAGAAATATTGTTTTTGGCACTAGAGAGTAAATTGTAATGACTTCTGAAGGTACATATTTCACTAAAGATGCTAAAAGTCTGCTTTACAAATACAAGAGGCTGTATATTCTAAGTATATTCAAATTAGCAGCAGATATTTTAAGCTGTAAAAAATGTAATCAATATTAAAATATTAAAGTTATGGACAAACAAATATACAGTAGAATGTGCCTTAGAGTATCTCTAAAATTATGATGAACTGAAATTAAACTTCTGAGGCAAATCTAAAACACCAGGATGCACTTAGAGAGGGAATAAAAATAAAATATCAAAGTATGAAACTTATTATAATTAAATTTAATTCATGTTTATTTATATAGCGCTTTTCACAATATAGTTTGTCTCAAAGCAGCTTAACATAGTTATAGTCAAGTCCAGATTTCAGAGTTGAAGTTCAGTTTAGTTCAGTTCAGTGTGGATTAAATTTCACTGCTGAAAGTTCAAACACTGAAAAGCAAATCCACCGAAGCGCAGCTCCACAAATCCCAATCCGAGCAAGCCAGTGGTGATAGTGGCGAGGAAAAAAACTTCAATATTATTATTTTTATTATTAATAATAATATTTAGCAAAATACTGCTATTTAGAGTTCTTTTTTAGCCAACTCATAAGATTTAGACATTAACAGTAATTTTACATTATGCTTTATACATTTTAGTAATTTGTTCTGTATCTGTCAACAAACCATCTGTTTGTTCATGCTAATATACACTCTTGGGCCACTTTATTAGGTACACATTACTAGTACCAGGTTGAATCCCCTTTTGTCTTTAGAACTGCCTTAATCTTTGGTGGCGTAGATTAAACTAGGAACTGGAAATATTATTCAGAAATTTTGGTCCTTAATGACATGAGAACATCATGTAGTTGCTGCAGATTTGTCGACTGCACATCCCTAATGAGAATGTCCAGTTCCACTACATCCCAAAGGTGCTCTATGGGATTGAGAGCTGGTGACTGTGGAAGACATTTGAGTTCAGTGAACTCATTGTCATGTTCAAGAAACCAGTCTGAAATGATTTGCACTTTATGACACGGTGTGTTACCCTGCTGGTAGTCATCAGAAGATGGGTACACTGTGGTCATAAAGGTATGGACAGGGTCAGCAACAATACTCAGGTAGGCTATGTTGTTGACACAATGCTTAATTGGTACTAATGGGCTCAAAGTGTGTCAAGAAAATATCCCCCACAGCATTACAGCACCACCACCAGCCTGAACCATTGATAAAAGGCAGGATGGATTAATGCTTTCATGTTGTTGACGCCAAATTCTGACCCTACCATCTGAATGTTGCAGCAGAAATCGAGACTCATCAGACCAGGCAACCTTTTCCAATCTTCTATTGTCCAATTTTGGTGAACCTGTGCGAATTCTAGCCTCTGTTTCCTGTTGTTAGCTGACAGGAGTAGCACCAGGTGTGTTCTTTTGCTGCTGTAGTCCAACTGCCTCAAGGTTGGACGTGTTGTGTATTCAGAGAGGCTCTTCTGCATAACTCGGTGGTAACGGTTATTTGAGTTACTGTTGCCTTTCTATCAGCTTGAACCATTCTGGCCATTCTCCTCTAAAATGTGGCATCAACAAGGCATTTGCGTGTACCGAACTGCCGCTCACTGGATGTTTTTTTCTCTTTCAGACCATTCTCTGTAAAGCCTAGAGATGGTTGTGCATGAAAACCCTAGTAAATCAGCAGTTTCTGAAATACTCAGACCAGCCTGTCTGGCACCAACAACTACCGCACATTTACCGCACACTTTCTTTCCCATTCTGATGCTCTTTTTAAAATGCAGCAGATCGTCTTGACCATGTCAACTCACCTAAATGCATTGAGTTGCTGCCTTGTGGTTAGCTGATTAAAATTTTGCATTAATGAGTAGTTGGACAGGTGTACCTAATAAAGTGGCTGGTGATTGTAGTGTACTAACTAGTAGTAAAGAAAGATATATTCATGCTGGTATATTTGATCCACTTTAACAGATGTGGTTACAGATAGATTTGAAAGTTAAAAAATTTGTTTAAATATAAAAAGCAACATTGCCAGAGATGAGTTGCTGCTGGAAGGGCATCTGCTGCGTAAAAACGTGCTGATAACTTAGCAGTTTATTCTGCTGTGGCGACCCCGGATTAATAAAGGCACTAAGCCGAAAAGAAAATTAATGAATGAATAAAAGCAACAAAGCAAAAAAGCATGGATTAAAGCTGAGAAATAAATACTGTCAACCTGGGAGTCCACATACTGTAACTGACATGCTTTAGTTTATGTACACTGAACAGTCAAGCAGAGAAACATTACTGTTTATGACTAACTGGAAATTGTCATTTGAGCAATCAAAGTTTTGATGCATCTTGAAAATTCAAGTTGAATGATGTGTGTTCTGTGTTAAATAGTCCTCCCATCAGTTACAGATGTCAATTTGTGTTTAGCATATTTAAAATATATTTGCATATTGGTGTATAAAGTCATTGGTTGTCTCCTTGTTTTTGTTTTTAGGGGAAATCTCTGATATCCAAGAGGCCACCTGCTGTCGTCCAATCTTGCTGAGCCTCAAACAATCCACTGAGGATGAGGACGCCGTCATCTTCATCTCTGTCGTCTGATTGGTCCAGCTCCCAGATTCCCTGGACAACGGACCAAATCACATGCATGTCCAAGAGGCTGAGTTTTTAAATCAGTTTCTACTTGCTACTTGCTAGTTTCAGTCTTTAAGACAGTTAGACTTGGACTTCTACTATCTGGGAAATGCAGCAACGTCTTTCAAAAGAGGAAAACGATATTCTCCTCTCCTCTTCTGTCTGTCAGGACTGTCTCCAAATGTAGACTGATCAAATGATGTCAAAACCAGAAAATTTAAAGTCATAAAAAAAATCACAGTTAAATATAACAGCGTAGGCACATTGTGTAAAATCGAGAAGCTTTAGACAGAGATGATCTCTTCCTACTCACCTTTCATCTCTTTTTTGCATTGATTTTATTGCACTATAAAGGATCTAGCACACGTTTGCTTATCGCACATGTGAAGTCGCATGGGATATATCTGAAAGCGACTGGTCTTGCAATCTGTCTCGTTGTTTCTTCTTCGTTGGCTCCCTCCGTTTATTTTTTTATACCATGTGTAAACACTTTTACTTGAAAATGTATTAAAGTCGGTCCTTTATCTGAAAGTCATGCGCTGATTTGTCCTTCACTGCACAGTTGATAATGACTACTGTAGTTAGAGCTGTCAAGCAGCAGCAGAGCATTTACTCTGACAGATTAGCGCCAATGGACTCGCAAAGGAAAACAGGTTTGTGTTCAGACGGCATCATGTGCTCATCCTATCGACACATCAATAAAAATCTAAATATGTTTTTTGAATTCTGTGACATAAAGAAAGATGAGCAAGTTTCTAAATATCTCCTCGTAAATGTTTTCAGCTATGACCATCAAACTTAAGTCTAAACCTGTATGATTAGTCTTTTTTTAACCTCTTTAACTATCAAACACATTTTTAAGCATAAATGTGAGATTGACATGTTCAACAAAAAGTAAAAAAATAAAAATTAAAAATTCAATTCAATTAAAACAAAAAAAGTTATGTACATTACATTTTTTTTAAAAAGTGACACATTCATTTGTTTTTTTCCCTTCATTTTAGTCCCTGATTTATCAGGGGTCACCACAGCGAAATAAACCACTACTACTCCAGCATATGTATTATGTAGAAGATGCCCTACCAGCTGCAACCCATTTATGTGAAACACCTATACACACATACACTATGGCCAGTTTAGTTTATTCCATTCACCCATACCGCATGTCTTTGGACTGTGGGGAAACCGGTACCTCAGACTGGAGCACCTGGAGAAAATTCATGCATACACGAGGTGAACATGCACACAGAAATGCCAGCTGGCCCAGCCAGGGTTCAAGCCAGCGACCTTCTTGCTGTGAGGCGACAATGCTAACCTCTGAGCCACCTAATGTGAAACAATAAATGTATATTTTAATGTTTTATCGTATATATGTATTTTACAAAACAAGTTTTACTTCATGGTGATTCATTTCATTGTGGCGACAAAAAAAAAATGCATGAATGAGTGTTTACATTAAAATTGACAGCAAATCTGAGCAAAATATTTGAACAAATTGCGTTCCAAATTTGAAGTTGATATCTCAAAAAATAGCTTTTATTGAGGTTTTGTGTGGGCGCAGTACCAAACCTCAGCACCAGATGACATCCAGCTTTCCATATAAGGGCGCTCCAATTTCTGTGTATTGCTTAAGTGATATGAATCTGATTTTTCATACTTTTTACAATATTTGTAAAATAGACATCAGATTCTAAAGTAGCATGGGCATCTCAGCTAAGGTTAGCTATTTAGACTAGGTTAGGCTAGGTTAGGTTAGCTAATTAGATTGATGGTTTATGTAAACTGGACAGTCAAATGAACAGAAAAACATGAATTAGTGGGGGTGTAAAACTTTCACAACAGCAATTTAAGTGGTTATTTTTAGTATTTAACCAACTGTACATCCACCAAGTGCTAAACTTTCATCTGTGGCAAACTGTTACTATCACTAGCAATAGTAACTAGTCTTTGAGACTTAAAGTTGTTAGTAACATCGTAAAACATCTAAACGTGCTAAAACATGTTTACATTCATTTTCTTGTCGACTTAGTCCCTTTATTAATCCGGGGTCGCCACAGCGGAATGAACCGCCAACTTATCCAGCACATTTTTACGCAGCGGATGCCCTTCCAGCCGCAACTCATCTCTGGGAAACATCCACACACACATTCACACACACTATGGACAATTTAGCTTACCCAATTCACCTGTACCGCATGTCTTTGGACTGTGGGGGAAAACGGAGCACCCGAGGAAATCCACACGAATGCAGGGAGAACATACAAACTCCACACAGAAACGCCAACTGAGCCGAGGATCGAACCAGCGACCTTCTTGCTGTGAGGCAACAGCACTACCTACTGCGCCACTGTTTCACCCCTGGTTAACATTCAAGCAACGTTAATTCATGCTAGCATTGTGTTAAATGTGAACACCATCTTAATCGAAATTGAATAGTGACCATGATAAACATGTTAGCAACATGCTAGCATTGTAGTAAACATGACAGCAGGATGCGAATTTACGCTGCTGTAGTATTAAATCACCAAATGCCAGAAATAAGCAAATTCATGCTAGCAGTGTGTTAAATAATGACAGCTATGTATTAAACAAACAGGTAACATACTAAGGACAAGACAGACTTATGTAATAATAATGTGCTAGCAACATGTTAAAACATGGTAGAAACATGTTCGCAATATCCTAATTTGTTAGCATATTGATACAACAGCATTTCCCCCTTCACCCTAAGCTTTCAACATTCAGGTGAGGTTTTACATTAGTCATATGAAATAATCAAACATATTTTTACAATTATAATAAAATAAAAAAAAATCTGAACAAATAATTGACAATCTTGTATTTATTTTACGGTTTGTTAGTTAGTTTGTTTCAAGGTATTTTAAATAACATTTGGTATATTTACAGAATGATTAGCCTACTGCATAACAATTTACATTAACTTTTTATAATTATGTGTCACGATGGCGCAGTGGGAAGCATGATCGCCTTACAGCAAGAAGGTTGCTGGTTTAAGCCTTGGCTGGGTCAGTCGACATTTCTGTGTGGATATTGCATGTTCTCCACGTGTTCGCGTGGGTTTCCTCCTGGTGGTCCGGTTTCCCTACAGTCCAAAGACTTGTGCTATAGGTTAACTGAAAAGAGAGTGCATGGGTATTTCCCAGTGTTGGGTTGCAGTTGGAAGGGCATCTACTGGGTAAGACATGTGCTGGATAAGTTGGCGTGAAAAGTCATGAAAATTAATAAAAGAATGAATTTTATTACTATTTTTAATGAAAAACAAAATACAAATGTCAATTGAATTTAAACATGTTGCTTAGATTTAGTCTATCTGTAAACTTCAATGCTTAAGCAGACTGCCATTGCGTTTTCTACCACTAGAGGGCAATGACTCCATCCACCAGGTTCTGTGTGAATTTGATTATTTGGTCAGTCTGGTGAGAACAGCTCTAAATCTTGAGGTCCAGACCAACTCATCCAACACTAACAGTCGGCTCTGAACCAGAACCATCTAGATTACTGCTATCAATACAATTTAACATGACATCTGAGTACTTTAGTTTCTTCACTTTAAACCAAAACATGTTTATATGTGTGTCTGCTCAGTGTGTAAGATTTCTTTTTGGGTGTTTTCAAGTTCTCCACACAAGTTTGTCTGCGTGTGCATTTGAGAGAGAAAAAAAGGAAAGGAACAAGAGAGGGATGTTATTCTTATTGTGGTCGAATGGAGATGAGTTCAAAACCACAAAAACAACAGAATGGGAGAACCAACGACTGAATAAGCAAAGAAAACAAAAGGAGAATAGTCAGTAATGTGCAACATCCCAAGCCAAATGAAGATTTATGGGGGCACAAAATTTCATGATAAACTGTGGAGTGAAAGATTAATGATTTAGCATCTGAAGGCTTTTGTCTTTTTAAGGCCACATAACACATCTGCTTTGTCTTGCCTTGATGTGCTGTCAAAACTTGTTTATAAAACCATTTTGCATTTGGAAAGACACTTGAGGAAAAGCCTTCAGGCGGGACCTCAATAAAGCCACAGTGAAAATGTCCAAAATGTTCCAGAAACACGAGCCCACACATTTTGGATTAAACCAAGATGAATTTAAGGAGATCAAACCCATCGATGTGTTTTCTATATTTACAGAAGAACTTCTGACACTGTGGGCATGTTATCTGCAGCAGTCAAGACGGACGGGGTTAAAACAGGGATGCAAACTCATGTGTGCTACACTTCAGAGAGAGACAGAGAGTGAGAGAGAGAGAGAGAGAGAGAGAGAGAATATGTTTTCAGGACTGGTTGATTAACAGTGGGCATTTGGGGGAGGTATCAGACCAAAAGAGAGGGAGGGAAGCAGAAAGAGAGAGAGAGAGGTGTAGATGAATCTTTCTGTTACTTGTGTGCAACTGATGATTTTCTTCCTACTTTCTTCACACTCACACACTTCTCTTTGGAGAGCCAGTGGGATGTGACAGTAAATCAGAGAGATGATGATTCAAAGACTCACCGGGAAGCACTCAGTGAAACAGAACGCGAGCTGGATGCAACATAAATGAGTGAAACTTGGGAGCTATGAGCCATAAAGCATGACCGCTTGAGTTTGGCCTCCGCAGAGCTGTGGACTCGAACAGGAAAGGCGCACGGCATCATCTTCAGGAGCGCTTCAACAAACATCCCGTACTTCTGATGGATTTCCACACTGCCTCTGTACATCTGGAGCTCTGAGCCTCGTCGATCTCTGACCTGCTGCTTGACCTTTGACCTCTGAGTGACCTCTTCAGGAATCACAGCAAGAAAAAAACTCCAGGTCCAGATCTGCAGGTAAATTCCAAGAAAAGAGACATGTTATTAACTCTATTTAGAATCTAAAAAATAAAGCACCTTTTAATTAATGAAGACTATTTCGATGGTCCTTAATGCACATTCTGTTGACTGAAAGGTGCATAGCAATTACTTCTCGTTTGAGTATTCGTAGACTTTCTGCTTAATATCTGTTGATCCTGCTTCTTCAACACATTTAACCGACTATAAGAAACTTTGCAAGTGCATGTCAACTTACACTAACCCTTACCCCAACCTAGCAGTCTACTTATAATCTAATGAGAATTAATTGGCATCTAGATGCAATGTAATTTAAAGTCAACAAAATGCCTTGAAGAGACATAATAAAGTGATCCCCAATATATAAAAAGAAAATACAAAATGTTCTTGGTTCCTCAAATAAATGTTCAGTGTCCAGTTTTTAAAGAACCATGTTTATATTTGTTCTTACAGTATCATTTTGCATCTTTGTAAGAACATTTAGTAATCTAAAGGAAGTTTAGCGGAATGGAAAGGTTCCATACAGTAGATAATAAAAGTTCTTTGTGAAACCATTATCGCCAAAAAAAATATTTTTAAAGTGTAAAGAACTTTTGGTGCAATACACTGTAAAAAAAATAAAAAAAAATAAAAAAAAGTTGGGTTCCACACAATATTTTTGTATTGGCACAACTTAAAGGAATTAAGTTAACTTATTAGTTTAGTT